GGAGGAGTATTGTGGGACACGTTGTCGCTGTGTGCGTCATCGTATGCCTGCATGTCTGCTCGCCAGGATTGGGAGGTACGGTCGTACAACTCTGTGTGCAGCGACCATACAAACAGAGACCAATCATCAACCTCTGTTTAACCTAATCCCCCATCCTGATCATGAGTAGCTCCCTGCGTGTACACTCTTTATCCGTAATGTACTGACTGAATAAACGTGCTCCTTGCTACACGTCTGTTTCCTTTATAGCTGAGCTATAGCTTAGCTGGTTCTGGGAGTCTAGTTAGGTGTTGGAGAATCTGTCATAGAGATTTCTGAGTCAGTCAGGTTTTACTAGCGTAGCAATCCGCTACATACACATCTACATTTTAATTCTTTGTGATCCCTCTGCGTTACAATTAAGTTAAAGTTAATTAGTAGTCATTATTTAATTTAATTTGGAAGGTAACCAAATTAGTAATAAACTTAATTTTCACGATCTTTAAAATACGACTACAAGTGGCGTTCATAATTTATATCCAATTTCGCTACAATTGGATCACCTACAAATTAACTTAATGGGAAATGCAAAAGAGGAGAATGACAGAAAAGTCGTGAAATCTAATTAGGAGTTGAGGAAATGCTACTAATTACTTCGACGATTAATCATATTAGTCGGATATAAATGTAGGATGGATTAGAGGTTAAGTGCATATTAGAAAATTGCAGAAACATGAACACCTATGGTTCTGGTGGAAATAAAGCCGTTATAAAGAATGCTGATATGACAGATGACATGCAGCAAAAGGCTGTGGACTGTGCTCAAGATGCAATGAACAAGTACAGTGTGGAAAAGGATGTTGCAGCTCATATAAAGAAGGAGTTTGACAGAATATTCGGTCCCACTTGGCATTGTATTGTCGGTAAAAACTTCGGCAGGTGGGTTCAATTATTTAATTGCAATCGACATTGAGAGGCAAGTGGAACTAATGACAGTTTCTTTGATTTGGTTTTAGCTACGTCACTCATGAAACGAGACACTTCATTTATTTTTACATGGGACAAGTTGCTATTTTGCTTTTCAAATCCGGGTGATATTTATGCATATAACGACATAATAAAATTATTTAAATTACGTTTCCTTATTAGATCCTTTTTAAACGTTTATTTCCAAGACCCCTGTAAACTTCAAATTGCGTTACTTTGTTTATAAATAAGGCAATTAGAAGGTGGAATTTCACTCGAGTTAAAATCAGTATGCTTTATTACTAATAACTAAAAAGCATTGATGTGCTTTTGTTCTAAGATTTTCTCACGAAATAAGAATTTGGGTGGTAACTCGTTAGTCAGAGACTTAACAGATTGTTTGAAGCTAGGCCCTAATAACTAACTCGCGTTATAATTACATCGAGAATAATTGGTGACGAATAAGATAAATCGTTTACTTGTGGAAGTCTTGAAAGAGATTTCGACTTATTGGGCCCATGTACAAAAGATCGGAATGGCCCAAACGACTTAATCGGATCATAATAATATGCTTAGATAGGTGCACTGATATTAATTTTACCTCGTTACTAAGAGGAAGGGGGGGGGGTTGTCATCTTGCTCAACACGAAGTCGAAAAAATAATCTAATCCTGGACTGAGAAATACACAATGAGGTTGCTTGGGGAGAAATCAGCGTAATGTTATGACTAAACAATAGGAAGAGTACTATGATTCAACTTAATTGAAATATGCATCTTAAAAATGGCTTGTACCAGCTACTTTCGTTAAATTACTTTATTATCAGGCATCATTCTTATCGTCAAGATTGCTTAACTTCTATAACCTATCAGCATAGATGTACTATTTTAGACACCAAAGCCTTGGAACCAGGTATCATATTTGTTATATAGCTTTTAATTGAGTAGCCTTTATTTCTCAGAAGATCTCCGAGATTATGAGTGCGCAAATACATGCACTCTACGATTTCTTTCCAACTAAGGTGGATACAGTGAAGCCAGGCTACTGAGACCAAGAGAAATGTGAGCACTCTCACCTGAAAGCACATGTTATAATACTCCGACTCTCACACACCCATAAACAGCTCAGTCAGTCAGGTATTAGGAAATGAAGTACTGAAATCATTTTATTTAGTCTCAAACGGTTATGTGCTAAAGTCTCTTATTTAAAGGGCAAAGAAATGTAGAAAAGTGTGTTTACAGTGTATGGTAAAACAACTCTTTGATATTATTTCATCAAAAACTGTTAACAATGATATCCAGTAAAAGAAAGAAGTGGTATGTGGCAGCCAATATGGAAATCTCAACAGTATGAAGAGAATGGGGATAAAGTGTGGTTGCATGCTAATGTTTTGTTAAGATTTAATAAAGTTACTTTACAATGCCGAAAAGTACACGGAGTTAGAGATAAAGTATTCGAAAGGTCATCTCTGCGTATTCAGTGAAGTGATTGGTCAATCACTTTGGTCAAATTTGGTATTGGAATGATGTAACCCATGCACTAAAGATGCATATTAGCTAAACTAAATAGTTTTAGGAGATGGACGTTGTGAACAAGGAATTCTAGCACCTCACTTGTTGATCAGTGTAATTGAGAGTCCCCATAGGAATACAATAAAGTGGACTGCCGAATACCACATTTAGTAAATAAGAAAAAATTACAATTTTGACAATAGGTTTTATTCTAAATTCTTGCCATTAGAGACGCTTACCATCTCAAATCGGTCCTGGATTCGATCCCGGAACCAGTAGCAAGGCGATTCTCCACTTAACCAGGGAAAGGTCTCAAAAACCCCAGTTACCTTTTTTGTGCTGGCACCTCGAATAGTGCCCTTCTCCACATGGGTAGAACATATATAATAGCGTATCAAGTTAAGATTTAGGAGCTCGAAGGCCAAACACCGGATCCGATTGACAACCCTTTTAACTTTTCTTGAGGTTTGTCGGGTTACCGACCGAATCCAGCTTCAGCCATACACGTGACTTTTTATTAGCTATCTGCGTTCATTACATATTCTTCCGCGTCAATGCCTAACCTAACTTCCTGGCTTGAAAAATAAATTACAAAATCTTTTCTTAAACCAACTCGTTGGAATTTGATAGCTAACATATTTCCCTATTAAGATGTTGGTTCTTATTTACTCAAACTACCTTTTTTAACTTCACGAATCACCTTTTATCTTTCTTGAATGTTAGTCTAGACTTCAAACTGCTTAATCATATTGCGTTTCACCAGTGGAGTACTTTAAAATGCAATTTGTCATTTTTTAAGGACGTATGATGAAAATGTTTGTGTTTTTGCCAAAATTCCAGTATATATCCGAAATAAATTAATTGCTTTGTTTTACGACCAATTAAGTGAGGTTAAGTTACTGAGGCCCATTTCGAAACAGAGCACTCAATTTTAACGCGGTCTTCTAGAAGCACACAAATAAACTAGGCACACCTTTATGCGAGGAATCAGCAGTATTTTACTAAAAACTCAGGATTTGATAATTTTTAAAAAATGCTACAGAAAAAAATTTAAATATTTTTTAGTTTGGAGCAAAAAGCTCCTTTTTTTCTATTTTAACTTAGTTCCCCCTTACAACATTAGTGATTCATTTGGAGAATTATGAATGAATAAGTAACCACAGCTTAAAGATGCTTGAAATTGAACTCAACCAAATCTCGGCAATAAAAATTACTTCAATTAAAAAGGCCTTAACCTGATCGTCAAGATATATATATATATATATATATATATATATATATATATATATATATATATATATATATATATTAGAGTGATTTGATTCAGAAAGTGATGACTAAGTGATGTGGAATAGCAAATAATTAATGGGGGGTGTGCGATAGACCTACCTCCACGTGGTACACCCTGGGCAACGTATACTCATTCGGCAAAAAGTCTATTAACCGGAAGTTGATCTCTGACTTCAAACTACCATCACCCCACTGTATGTCATATTACACAGCTTCACAGTACTTATTTCACCTTTTCTCTGCCTTTGTGTCTGTCTGTCTCCTCTACATCTGCGAATCGCTCTTCTGTTCCCCCTCCCGAATTGTTCTCACTTTGATTTCCTCCCTCTGCGAAGCCCAAAGTCAGCTAAATGACTAATGATAAATATTCAAAACGCCTGCCATTTGAAATAAAAATAATATTAATAAAAATAATAATATATAATGGTCAAATATTCTAAATATAATTTACAATCTTTGCAATTTATAAGGAAGTATCAAAATCTATTTTGAAAGAATCAAGTGTTAATTTAAACGACTTTCCTGCCCTAGGTAATATATTCTGAACTAAAGCAAAATTCATAACGAAATGTTTAAACCATTTTAAGTGGTAGAATGCTCGCCTGCCACGCGGGCAGCCCGGGTTCGATTCCCAGCCGTCGCATTTAATGGGGTGCGCAATAGACTTACCTCCACGTGGTGCACCCTGGGAAACGTATACTTATGCGGCAAAGTCTATTAACTGGTAGTTGACTTCTCCTATAAGGGCAAAAATGTCTATTAACCGTCAGTTGACTTCTGACTTCAAACTACCATAACCCGACTATTTGTCATATTCAACCCCTTACACAGTACTTATCTTAATTTTTTATACCTTTGTGTCTCTCTGTCTGTCTCTTTTATATATGCGAACCACTCTTCTTTCCCCCTCTTGACTTTTTGCCATTTTGATGTTCCTCCTCCTCTCTATGAAGCCCCGAAGTCAGCTCCAGGGCTAATGATAACTTTCAAAACGCCTGCCATTTGATATAAATAAGTACATGTGTACTCGAGCTTGGTATGGAATGGGTGCAGCTTAAGTTTACTAATTGTATTGCGATGAAGGATTTGCCAAACCAAGCAAGAACTATTGATTGGCGGTTGGCTTGGTGATCTCCGCGCTCATGACTGCACTTATGCACTGCGCGAAGTGGCACGACCACACCTTCGAGTCTGTCTGAGTGCGCATGAGATTTCTTTGTTAATCTAGGGTAGTGTTGTGCACTCCGCAAGGGAAAACGTTGAAAGTGGATTGGAGACGTCAGTTACTATCGTAGAAATAGCAAAAAATCTTACGCGAACTTTCAAATACTAGTTGATGAACTAGACCGATGTTATTAAATTTGTCATGCTTTAGAAATATTTCACCCAGGTTTAAGTGGTAGGAATGCTACTTGACATATGTCTAAATATATAATGCATGAATTACAAACGAACTTAATTACATCTATCGAAAGCACCAAATTTACCTCCCAAAAGTTTGGACGACAGCACAATGTCATGTGGAATTGTGTCTCAAGCTGAGCTCATTTTACTGCACACAGTAATATCTTTTTAACAGTACTCCTTCTCATTGCTTCAACACAATTTTGCTAGATCTCCTCTGACACGTTGCATTCTTAATTATGCCATTCTCCTTATTTCTGAAGCTTTGCATAATTAGGGATTTGCAACTTCACTGTCTACCCCAAAGTAGATTTCGAATACTCACTTGATAATGTCAGACTCAAGGCTTGCAGTAAACTTGCCTCAGATCAGCATAAAGTTCACAAAGCATGATCAAGTGCAAACGATGTATTCAAGATTTCATGGCGTTTATTTTTCCAATCAAAAAAAAGAATGAAAAGTCACTTTTTTTAGGTGCCAATGAAGAGTTATAAGCAAGGGAGCAATTTAAATGATTACCACCAGTTGGTTGTCATCAATAAATGAGAGAATATGACAAACATTTCGGAGTATATTGCGTATTATTCTAATGGTTATCAAACATTCAACAGCAGATACCAGATTTATAATGTCTAGAGAGATAGTTATTAAAACCTATCGCGACGATAAAAATAGTACACTACTACATTAATTAATTAATTTATTTATTTCAAATGGCAGGCGTTTTGATAGTTATCATTAGCCCTTTAGCTGACTTCAGGCTTCACAGGGGGAAGGAACATCAAAGTAACAGAAAGTCGAGGGGTGGGGAACAGAAGAGTGATTTACAGATGTAAAGAGGCAGACACGAAGGCAGAGAAAAGGTAGGATGAGTACTGTAGAAGTTGTAGAATATGGCATATAGTTGGGCTATTGTAGTTTTAAG